CATCACCACTGGACACATTTTCTTGTGTGAACATCATAGTTACCTAACACTGAGACCGTTTTACACATCATACATTTACTCAGCCGAAAATGCTAACAACACGTACGTGTTTGGCATCTCTACGATAGGTTGTGACAACAACAAATAAAATTTGCCTTCACATATTGCAGCCGCTTTGAAGGTTGCGCGCAACGGAGCATTAACAAACTCGAGAAAATGATGTCTTGCAGTCAGGGCATTTTGCATGCGCGTTACGTTACGTTACGCGGCTGCAGAACAAACCCAGTGCGCAACAGGTCACGTTCCGGTGAGTTGCTATCGAACATCTTGACATTTCAGAGTAAATACGTTCCACTCTAACCCACAACCCCCCCCCCGCCCTCGTCAAAGAAAGGAGTCAGTCCAGTGGCATTTGTTTTGAGTTCTCTGGGGCACGAGGTGAAGGCGCAGCCCCTGAAAGTGCCCGAATCTGCCGCTGCAGGCGCAAGCAACATCCTCAACTGTAGGGATCTCTCCGGAAAGCCCTCTCTTGGAGGGTATTTTTTTCCATCTCTTCCACACTGGCCAATTATGCAGGAGGTGGCCGTACCGACACCTTACCCCACCGCGCGTGACCTGCCCCTTCTATAATTGTGGTGAAGCCATTGATATTAAACTGCTGGGTGGACACGCGTTGGCTATGGGGGGGGGGGGGGTGTGGATCGGCCAGTCATCTCAGTCAACCCATGGCACCTGGGTCTGTCCCGTGACCTCCTGCCAGTGGGCGTTTGACACTTCTAGTGGTCTTAAACTGCACCTAGCCTGGCACAAGCGCTGTGGCGACGTCACCGGCACTTAGTCGCGAATGGCGGTTGTTGTTGTTGTTGTTGGGGTATTTAAGAACCTTTCTCTGGCAGCAGGACCCGCACCTCCGATTAGCATAGTTAGCCACGGACGGTGCGAAATAAGTTCAACATACATAGAAACATGCTTACATACAGAATCCAAATGCTGTCGTGGTCACGTGGACTCCAGGCTATCCTACCATCGACGGCAGGACCGATTTTAGGGGCAAAAGGTCATCGAGGTCGTAACAAGGTACAAGACAATTGTATTGCTTTAAGTGCCCTTCTGGCCATAAACGAATGCACCGTTCTTTTGCCATTATTCCCCGCTGTCTGTCTCCCTGCGGCAAAAAAAGAAAAAACGATTGTGCACTACTACCCGAGTGACCTCTTGTCCAATCGATGACCTCACTCGTGAACACGCACTCGTACGTTCGAGGGTTCTCTTTTTTTTGTTTCTCTCGATCAGCTGCTGGATTATGGCCTCCCCCACGCATCGCCGGGCATGAGAGCAGGGCATGGGGGAGGTTCTCCATCCACGCTTTTGAGATATTTCAATCGTACTTCGTCACGTTGATGAAGGCGTGAAGTGTAGACCGGAGCAGGGCACAGGTACGGCCCGGTTTGTGACTCCACCACTAAATGGGCGCTTCCCCACGTGTTGCAGGCCATGATGGATATTTGACCATATTTCACCACGATGGTAAGTGTGGGTTGGTGAAGGTGAGGGGTGCGGGGGCGGGGGGGAAGTGGATTTTCACTGCATTGTCCTCGACTGTCTTTTGCACATCATTGCGGTGGTCACCTGTGCAAGCGCTATCCAGGCTGCAGCCTGCTTGGCTTACGACGTGTGACGAGATCGGGGACATTCCGCGTGATCTGGCCACGGGCACTCTCATTAGCGGCCGAATGTGCCACTTCGCCCGGCCGCTAGGAATGCCATTCCCTGGTGACGACGATTTGCCTCGCGATCACGTTTCTGCAAAACTCGCACTCGAGAAATCTTCGCCACTTTCTTTCAGGGTTATGTAATTTCCAGTAATTTTAACTCGAAAGCTGTCCGTGTTCACTTCGAGTGCAATCTGTTAATGGGGGAATTGGGGGGGGGGGGAGCTTGTCCTCTCAACCCTTAATAAGGAACAAAGATGATGTTAAACAAAAATAGATAACCGCTTCGGCTGATTTTTTTCTTAAGCCTGTTGCTCGTTATCTGATTTGGCCTTTGCCCACGGCACCGAGACTTGTGGTCTCAGGACAAAGAATCCAGCAGTGTTGCTGTGTCTGCGCTCAAAAAAAAAATTCTCTCCCGTATGTTTCTTGAGATATTATCGTGTGCCTCGTCTGATGTGGCGCCCAGATTACTGTGGACCCAAAAAAAAGAAGGGGGGGGGGGGGCCTGATTTGGAGGAAGCAAAAAAAAATTGTTTGGTACCGGCCCACCGCTGTGTTTGTCAAACCGCGCGGCCCCATTTCACGTTCGTACGACCTCAAGGCTCAATCTTAATTTTGGAGCTTTCGTGACTGCAGGAATTATTCTTTGGTTCTTTCGGTAAAGTCACGTATAAAGATAAAATAATAAATTAAATAATAGCATACGACGTTTCGATTGCAACACAAGCAATCATCATCAGGTATAAATGAAATAGCAACAAAACATCTAACCAGAAATCTGCGCGGGTTCAGCGGCGCCGGAGGAAAATAACAGCAAATGACCGAAAATTTTCTGAGAGATGCGAAACGGCGAACATGGGGTTCGTAAAGTGCACGTTCACAGTTGAATTGAACTTGGCGTTAAGGCCACACGCGGCATTCGCGTCATCCTTATACCACGAAGCAATCGAATAGGCGCTCGTGTTTCACAGAGAGCGGGGGGGGGGGGGTGATTGTGCCATGTGGTTGAGCCCAATTAAGTAATTTGCCGGTCACTTTTTAACGACCGCTTTGAAGGCACAAAGTCTTTTATGGTCAATCCACTGGCAGTGTTTAGAATGAATAGTTATACTGGAGGAGTAATCCGATGAGCTATAAAGCTCTTTTCCACAGACATCCAGTAGGGGCAGGTCAGAACGTTACAACAATAAACAATATAAAAACATGATAGGAATGAAAATTATAGGAAAGGTAAACAAATCACGGTAAAAATATACAAATAAAACGAAACGTTGTTTTAATATCTTACCTCGGTGAAGCCCACTGAGATATGTAACTTCTTTTTCAAAAGCGACCTCGCCACAAATTGATACCCCAACGAGGCGAGCTCATCACGTGGAAATTGTCAGGCGGAAAAGTAAAATAAAAATTTAAAAAAATCACCCGGGTGTGACCACGGGGTTCGAACCGCGAACCTTTGCAGCAGGCGACCAAAAAACACGGCTCAATCTCTCGGCCAGGTCACCGCTCATTTCTCCCAGGAAATCATCGCCACGTTTCATTTTCATATGATTGGTTTTTTTTGCCTTCATCTGGGGGCGGTTGGGTGGGAGGAAAGAAAAAAAACTCCCAGAGAGAGAGATAAAAAAAACCTGCATACGAGGAGGGTAACACAGAATTCGCCCACACGGATTCAGCCCACGGTTTTACCGCCATCTCCTGGCAATTTCCCAGATTTGTGCGCATCTCCGGGTATCAAAGAAGATGACGTAAAAGGACAGACACGTGTAACAATTTTTTTTTACAATTATATCTATTTTTTTCCCTCTGGTTAGAAAGTGTTCTTTTTTGTTCCTGGGCAGTAAGTAGTAAGTGAGTACTAAGTGTTATTTCGTAATTGCTTATGCCTCAAAAGTACAGATAATGGTTATTATTTCCCACATACTTTAGTTTTGTGACTAGGACAGTGATAGTTTGAAATTGACCTATTTTCAATGAGAAAACGTGGTGAGCATTTGTGTCATTCCTTCACAAAAAGTCCTGGTCACAAAAGCAAAGTTTGTAGGGAATAATAGCAATTTTCTATACTTTTTAGGCATAAGCAATTAAGAAATAACACAGGAACAAAAATTGTGTTACATAGTGAATTGTCAACACCATTCTTCTGTTAACATTTCTTGTAACATTTTCTCAAACTGTGGGTTACGCTCATGCGTTGAACACCGAAATCTGGTTCCAAAATTTATACTAATAATAATAATAAAGGACTTCCAATCGTTTTATTCTGTTCTGTATAAATCGCAACAAATGCCGGCGTTCGTTTCTGCAGTAACTTCCATTACACGGGTTCTGTGTGACGCCGCCAGCGCTAAGTGGTTTGGCTGGGGGGAAAAGGGGGCCTTTGTTTGCATCCACAGGATTTTGCTTGCCATTCGATTTTCACGTTTGAGTCTCGTTATCCATCAGCCCTTAACGAGGCTGCGCTTTCTGCTTTGAAGCAGCAGCCCAGAAATTATGGAACGTGGCGACGATTTGGGAACAGTCCCTTGTATGAACAGGCGAGTGCGGTATGTTTTGGATGCCAAAAAAATGTTTTACCCAGGTCACGATTCACAACCACCACTCGGCTATCAGGGTGAAAATCGCTCGTCTGTACGACTGTGCAGCGATGGTGTTTGTGTGTATGTATGTGGGGAGGGGGAGTGAATGGGAGCAGTGGTTCGTGCACTCCGCTTAGAAACCAGCGGACCCAAGTATCGACTCCAAGCCACAGCTAATATCAGGAGCGAGTGATTTCTGAACCGCTCGTGGGCCTCCGGTAGTTCAACTGAAGTCTTAAGTGAGCCCCTGCCGCGGTGTCTAAAGACATCAACACGGAGGAGGGAAAGGCGGCCAGAAGTGTGGTACTGGCCGCAACCACCGCCTCTTGCGCGCCTTACTGGGCATTTATACATTTTCACAGCGCTTGCCCAACAGTCTAGCAAGGCTGTCGGCGTTGGGTGACCATACTCCACCACCAGGGAGGAGGCCCACCGATGCTCTAGATATCTCTGAACGTTCGAGCCGTGCATGGGAATTGAACTCGGGTCGCCGGGTTTATGGCGTGTGACGGTACAATCCACGTCTTGGTTGTTGATGTTGTTTTTGAGCGGTGTTTGGCAAGAACGGGCGGGCATGGTGCTGGCCACCCCACCCGCCTTGCGTGCCGTGCCGGCCTTCACATGTGCTTCTCGCTAACAGCACTTGCCCCAACAGTCTGCTAAGGCTACACGGGGTGGGGGGGGGATCTTTGTTGTGTTTGAGCAGTGTTTGGCAAGGGTCAGGCGACGACTGGCCACTACCGGATGCTGGCGAAGCGCGGCGGCTTCGTGTGGGTGGAGACACAGGCCACGGTCATCTACAGCCCGCGCAACGCTCAGCCGCAGTGCGTGGTGTGCGTCAACTACGTGCTCAGGTAGCCACCCCCCCCCCCCACTGCCCCACGCGCGGCGATGAATTAAAACATTTTCGGGGGACAGGGAACGTTGCGATGGTCGCTCGTTTTTTGTCGGGAAGCAAAGCGGATTGCTCGTCACGTTACGCTTACAGGGCATTGTGTCACGTGTACAGATACTCAAGGGAAGAGTCGTGCTTCGTTACGCATTTATTTATTCGTCCGAAAATGTTATATTGTTCAAAAATCGTTGCTGATCCACAACGGGCCGGCTAAACATTTCACCGGGGGGGGGGGGGTGCATCATTTGCACGGTGGCTCACGCGCCTGGCTGCCTCGCTTGAGCTACAAATCCGGCAGCACGTGTTTGTGACTCCCTGCCACGGCTGATGCGAGCGACATCCGCCGCGGGTCCCCGGTGCTGCGCGTTCCGACGTGACCCTTCGTGCCGTCCGCGCGACCGTCTCTTCTCCCCTTGCGCAGCGGCGTGGAGGAGACCGGCACGGTGCTGTCGCTGGAGCAAACGGAGCGGCTGCTGAAGCCTCGCCCCGGCGATTCGTCGCCGCCGTCGTCACCGTGCGCCAACCCCGGCGGCATCGTTGGCGCCGCGACGATGGGCGAGTCGCTCTTCATGAAGCTCAAGGAGGAGCCGGACGAGCTGGCGCTCATCGCCCCCACGGCCGGCGACGAGGTCATCAGCCTGAACTTCGGACTCGGCCGTGAGTCGCCCCGTCCCAGGCACCGTCCAGGCTACCGACCGAGAGCTCCGCTTGGCTTACCGAGCCCCGGTGGGAAAACTACCGAACTCTTCGTAGAAATAAGAATCCGTCGTCCGTTACATGATCATCGTACGTAGGACTCCTCTCGCACCGTACGTAGCCAGCCACGTGCAAAACGCGGTAAACTAATTGCAAGTGGACACTTTGAGCGGGCGGTACCGGTGCACGGCCGAGCCGAGCCGACGCGAAAGGGGAACGCACACGGCCCAGCCCATGTTTCGGTTCCCACACGTTTGGCAAAAACACCTGCTGCAAATACATAAAGTCGAGTTCATTCTCCCGGCAAGGCAATAACCCCCCCTCCCTCGCCTCCCTGCCTCCCACTTGTGAGCACTCGGCAGCATAAATGGGTACGAAACAGTGAGCTGATTGGCATGTCCTGTGTGGCAGGCTTTTCTGGGTATACAAACAAAATAATAATAAAATATCCTTATCAAAAACCCATGGGAGAAACGTCTCAATCCATGCTGCACAGCTCCCTTGTTTAATCCTCATGGACGGATCTTTTTTGCCATGAAGTGAAGAGCCGTATTTTAGTGTGATGCATTGTGTGCCATCACTCGGGTCCAGGATTAGACTCACCAACGCCCTGCACTTGACAAGCCAGTTTAATCACGGGGAGGCGACACCCAGATTCAAACCCAGGATCTCAGCTGTGCCAGCTTAGCGTCTCTTGACCCCTGGGCCACGCAGCCAAACTCTGGGGCTTTAAATTTAGCCGTGATGGGTGTGGACGTGTGGCGTGGTTGTAGATCCGTATCTAGCTTGTGGCACGGACAGGATCCTGAGAACAGAGAGGGCACGGTCGGGCTGTCTTAGGCGTAGGTCAACTTTTGTTTTTTCCCCCCTCGCGTCGATTGAAGTTGCATAAGACCAGGGACACTAATCAAGCACAACTACAAGCATACGCTCTTGGGGATTATCTCATTGTCCCATCTGGAGTTGATTTGACCGAGTGACTATCCCACGGCAGACTTCCGTGCGCGCCATTCCTCTCGAGCTACCGTGGTGCGCCTCGCCATGTTCACCGAACGTCGCATCATCACCCTCGTCATTATCCATGGCTAATCCGCTGCTGCTGTTGCTGCTGCTGGATGAAGGGCTCCAAAAGCCGCCGACGTTTCTGACGATCTTACGATGATAATGATCCACACAGCGCCTTGGACGTGAGACGATTTCACAGCTGCATCTTCTCGGTGGATGTCCCACCAGACACGGTTCCATCTCCTGGCCACCGCTCCGTCATTATTCTGGGCCATCGTGCCTTCCAGTGACACGTCCTGCCCAGGCCGCACTCTCTCTTTTACCAAACGACCTCCACATTTGGAATCAGCGTCACGCGTTTCGAGTATTTGGCTGCTCGAAATGTGCACGCGATGAGCCACTTCGTTGCGCTATCATTTGTGGCCAGGTCGCTTCTGAAAAAAAAATCTAAATAACTCAGCGGGCCTTACCTGGCTAAAATAAAAACTTTTAGTAGCTAAACAGTTTGTGGGCTGCATGAACGTGAACCCCCACAGATCGCTGCGGCGGTGGCGGTGGCCTGCAGCATCCGCCGTTGTACTCGGACCTCTCTCTCTACGACGACGTGGCACTGCCCAGCCCCGAGCGGGGGGACCGTGAGCCTCCGCTGGGGTTGCCCCTCACTCCGCCGATGGCCGCCCCGCGGGATCCGCGACCGCCCCGCGACTCGGCCTCCGCCGCCTTCTTCTGCGACGCGCGAGTGCCGCAGCCCTCTGCCAACCGGCGCCAGGACGGTGCTGGCAACACGGTGATGATGATGATGCAACAATGATGTTGATATGATGACGAGGGTAGATGATGCAATTGCTTCAGGGTTGTGCCACGCGTTGTTCGCCATCATCTCCAAAGTTTTTGCTCCAAGGTCCTGGGGCTCATATAGTAGTAGGTTTTTACGCTTTCAACTGGCACAAAAACTGACACCTTTATACAAGGTGATCATGTTTGCACTAACCACAACACAAGCAGTCAAAATGCAAACAAAAAGAAACAACACTGATGATAATAATGATATGCATTGTCCTTGAAGTTGATTGGTCCACACCCGAGACAGCTTATCTTAGAGCCTAGTCTCCATTGGTGTTGGACCAGATGACGCCTTTTGGTAAAGGATCTCTCATAGTGTCCTGGGGCTCATTTTGATTCGAGGTGTGTCGTGTTGATTATTGGTTTATTAGTTTTATTTCAACCCACGCCCTCGTCTAACAGCATCTCTCCACTTGAGCAACCGCGTTTTGTCAATAATTGTCAGTCAATTTCATTCTCAGCGAGACTTCAGAGAATATGTATGTAGAACTTCTTTCGCGCTGAACGTAACCAACCATGCTATTGGGTGGAAGAGCTACCGGGACTGGTGGAAGGGGCCCTGGTTCACGCGCTGCGCCCCAAACCCCAACGATTTTGATTTCGATTCCCGGTCATGGCAATCGAAGTGAGTGTGGCTAGCGATGTCTGAACCAGTCTTGATGGTCCCACCTTTGTCAACCCCCCTCTTCTGACCTGGCGTGGGATAGAGGCCTTCGGCATTAGGTTGACGGAAGGGCTCTGAGTTACATGTACCAATGTGGAACTTCCTTCGCGCCGTACGTAGCCAACCGTGTGAATCGGAGGCGAGGCATTCTACTGCCCAATTCAGGCTCGCTTGCGGGTTCTCTCCTCATTCCGAGAACGACACTACCCCTCCCCTCCCCCCTTAGAGGATAATCAGAGCCCCTGCGCCTCGCATTTCTCAGACGAGGTGTTGCGCGGCCTCAGGCACGCCCGGAAAATTAGCGTCCCGCGTCTTTTATTTTAGGAACGAGAGAGGAGAGCGGCGAGTTCTTTGCCGCATCGTGATCGATGCGAGCGAACGTGGCCGTTGTTTTTTTGTCGCCACCGTGGATCGGAACCCTTGCCCTCCCCCCCCCTACATCCCCCGTACCCCCACACCCCCCCCCCAAAACCCCTCACACGTGGAGGGGACCTCCGTGCTTCAGTGTTAGCGATCAGGGATTAACCCAAAAGAGCCGTACATGGGACGGAATGATTGGATTAACGGGACGACGTTCATCCTCCTACTTTATTGTGTTTTATTTTATCAGCTGCCCCGTTGCGTGCTGGCAGTTGACGCGATGGGCGAGGATTATTTTGTTTGTTTTTTATTCCCCTTGCCTCGGTCCACCCAGCAGCAGTAAAAATAGTGGACAACGTAGTAGATCGGCAGGTTACGTGCGGTGGGGTAAAGTGCGGGCACTGCAGCCGCTTGCAAGACATCTGACGAGGCTTCCAACAGTCGGCCAAAACACATTCGAGTGGGGCTGAAGATCTCTCGCGAGTGGAGGCTTCTTTCAACCGACAGTGGCTTGAGCAGAGACATTGCAGGGCTGCGCCTTCACGAATACGATTAACAATTTACAACCCGTACGTTAATCAACTGGTGGATGACGATCCGGTCAAGAATAACTGCATACAAACCCACCACGTTCATTAAATGAGATTCTCTACTTAATTTCGATAATTTCCGGCTTTGAGAATTAAAAAATAATGGATTCAGTTTATCATGCATTGAACATTTTTCCCTTGTAGGGCGGGTGGGAAAGTGATACCCACTAGTGTGTGAATCGGAGATCACTTGAAGGGATCCCAGACGTGACAAGCCGCCAATAGTACAGCAACTAAACATCGGGCTGTGAATGAATATTTTCTTCGTTGCAAATTTCCCCCCATCGCAGCATCCACGTCATGTGACACAGCACCCATTCGCATCTCTCGCAGAACAATTCATCCCTTCGATTCGAACCCAGGATCTCGAGCTGCCAGCTCAGCTACTCTCTGACCCTCCGAGCCACCCTGGTTAAATCATGTTTATTTTAAACGCCAAGAGAGAGAGAGAGAGAAATGCAATGTTCGTTCTGCATCGAGTCGACGCTCCCTGTAACGACGGTCGCCCGACATTTGCCGTTGCAGCGCTCCACCTCCGAGGAATCCTTCTCGCCCCTGGGTGGAGACCTCCGAATCGACACCATCGAGAAGCTGTTCAGTGTGGCTCCGGAAACGAAGGCCCCAGCGCCCACACAGGTCCTCACAGCATCCCCAGAGCATTCACTCCCAAAGGCAGGTCCACGGCTCGAGCCCGCCTCCATCCCACGTGATCCTTCTCCCTCCCACCCTCTCTCTCTCTTGACCTCGCAACAACATTGCACTCTCCACACGAGGGTTCTTCAACTATTGTAAGGAAAATGATTTGGTGACGCCTCCGCTGCTGCTCCTGCCGCGTTGGCGGTGGTGCAAAGCAAAAAAAAAACTCAACACGTTCGTCAATAACACCGTGTGGCATTAAAAGGAAACATATACGATAGGGTGACGTTTCGGGGAATGGCCCTTCTTCATGGCAAGCGATACACCCAAGAGCAGCAATACATCAGCCCCATCCGCAAGTCGCAATGCGACAGATATCAAGTGTTATTTCCAGAGGGTGCACGTTTGGACAACGTGAAGAAAGCGAGAATCAGGATTGCACTCTTCGTCCGTCTATTGCGACGAACGGAACGACAGCAGCGGTAGCGAGACGGTGACGAAGGCTCCTCCGAAGCCAGCCCATTGAGAATTTAATGACTGCGCGTTTCGAATTTATGAAAAGCGTTTTTGCGTATATGAGGAAGTTTAAATTTGGCTCGCGGTATTTATGTTCTGTTTCTCTTGGCTTGCCGGCAGGAATTTGGCAGCGATCTGGACCTTGAGACGGTGGCTCCGTACATCCCCATGGACGGCGAGGACTTCCTCCTCTGCATTCCGGAGTCCGCTCCGGGTTTTTACTCCGACTCCCCACTCCCCAAGAGCCCCCCAGGGGCCACGGGCCCACCCGGAACTCCGGCTACACCTCGCCACCTGCACTCCGGCATCTTTCAGCCCCCCGAGGTAACGCATCCTGGGAATGCCGCGATGCGGGCCGATACCTACGATTCGTATTGTACACCACAAAGTCACCGATAAATCACGTGATCGTTTGTATTTTTTAAATACCATTGTGCAGCGATTACCATGGTTCGTGTTGTTTGTTTTTTCACGTTTTATTTATTAACGGAATATTTCCGAGCGAACAAGAGCACAGTTGTTAAAGTTTAAAATAAATAGCAGGAGTACGCCACGCCCGCCGGCGTCACGCTCCCAAGCTTCGGCCAAATTTGAAAATTGCCCGCAAATTGCTGAAATCATGAATAGCTACGTGAGCAGCGTTGTCGCCTCCTCCTGTGAAAACTTACAGCAGACAATAGTGGTCTGTGAAACAAGCCGTGTGCTGTGACGAATGGCACAAACACAAACGTGCACACGATTGCAATTGATGATTTCAGCCTTTAGCCGTTTAATGGGCGCTTTGCGATAAATGATGCGATGTGGGGGTTAGTTGACCGCGACGTTCTCCTAATTCGTCTGACTATTTAATTATCTCCTGCGTTGCGGAGAGCCTGTTTGTTGTGAGCACTAAAGGTTGTAATGATTATAAAGACTTATAGCGGGAGTGTAGCGGTTAGCGCGCACTGCCGCTCATGGCCAGTAACGGTGACGGTTATCTGAAACAGTCCTGGGCCTTCCCTAGGTGGACTCAGACTCAAAATGAGTACCTAGTGCATTGTGTAAACATAGCTACTGGGGAGACAAAGGCGGTGCCATTCCGGCCTTCATAGGTGCTCGCTCACAGCAATGGTCTGTTAAGGCAATATGGGGAGGGGGGTCCCTTTGTATCTTTGTTTTGTTATCCACTAAGGGGTATTGACAGTGCTGTTCCACCCTCGGTAACGAATAGGTTCCTCACCCCTGCTGTAGAGGGGCGTGCACTGTGACCGCTGTTCTCACGGATTGTCACGAATACAATTCGTACGCGCGAGGTTCGATGGCTGGTTCTTTTTAATACTGACGGTGATGCCTTGAGTGTGGGCCATTCAACCAGCACGGATCCTCATGTCTCCCCCACCTCCTTCTCATACCTCCCCACTCCCTCTTCTCCTTCTTTTCCCCCCTCTCGACAATCTATTGGGTTGTTATCTGATACGGGGGTTGTTATCTGATATGGGAGTTATTATCTGACATGTTACCATGTTTTGCTACTCTTTCCGGGCGCGACTCTGCGAATATTACAGTGGGAGTGAAGATGCGAGTTTTCAATCAACGTTTAAAATATAAACCTCTTCATTGTGTTTGTAATCCGAGTGCTCGACGCACTTTTTATTTTGATGTTTCGCGAAAACATGTATTTATTATGATTCAACGTGTGCGTGCGTGCGTGCGTGCGCGGCCGCTTTACTCCGCGCAGTTCCAGCAACCGCTTCGGACCCTGGCCGCCCCCTCTCCAATTTCCCAGCATGCACCGCTGCCCGAGATCAGCTTCCGCCTGGACGAGTTCGGGGTGTTCGGCCTCAACCGCCTGGAGGAGACGCGGCACGGCAAGAGCCCTCCTTCCCCCGCCACGGCGGCCGGCGCCGCCGCCAGCGCTCCGAGCGCGTGGGTCCCGTCGACACTCACGGCCAAGAGACCCAAGTTGGACTCCCCCTGCGAGGCCGTGCCTCCCCGCGTGGGAGCGAACGCCCCGTCGCGGATGCTGCCCCTGGCCTACCCAGCGCCGCACCAGCAGCAGCACCAGCAGCAGCAGGCGTACGCTCCGAGGTGAAGCGGCGATTTGCGCTTTCGTGAGGATGTTGGTCACGGGAGTGGTTTGCTCCGGTGCCGGAAAGGATTCAACGATGCATATCAACAAAACGCCTAGGTTTTTGCGGGAAATATTACGATTTTTGGGGTTAGGCCATGTAATGAGCTGGCCCAATTTTGTGTCGTAAGACCCTCCCAACATCTGACATTTTATTCTGTATTACCTGCAGATGCTTTGGTGCAGCCACTTGATTTTTGTGCCTGCGCTCAGCAACCGTGTTAACAAACAAAAAAACACACGCACCACATCTCTGTCTGTGCATGCAGGCCGAGTGACGGTGCCCACTACGTGGAGATGCCAGGGTCCCTGGCTCGGTTCTCCGGCCCCTTCATGGCCCACGTCGCGGCCACCGCCGCCTCGTGCCGCAAGCGTCGGCTGAGCAACGAGGGAGCCGCGTCGCCCATGAACCTCGCCGCCTACGCCCAGCAGCCCGGCCTCGTGCGTGTGCCGCCGCACTGCTCCGATCTTTAGCGTAATCTCCTGCGCAGGCTTGCGCAGTTGCGCCTGCGCAGCTCCCACCCGATGTGCTTCCGGGTCGTGCCACGTGTGGTATGCGCGTAGAATTTCTTCCGCGCCGTACGTAGCCAAACCGTGCTCGTCGGAGGTACGTTGTGCCACGTGTTGTTCGATGTGGGACGGTTTGCTTCACGCGATTGAGCAATGCGTGGTACAATCCCGAAAACACAGCGGGTGTAGAAAAACGAATTCTGATTCATTTAGACTGGAGGAATACGATGAGCTACGAGGCTCATTTTAACAGATGTCGCCGGGTCGTCTGTGCTACCGACTCGGCCCGATCATGGCCAACGTCGGTAGCTAGGCAAGTTTTGCCAGAATGTGTCCCTGGCCTCTCCTAGATTGACCAAGCCTTAAATAAGTTCCTGGTGTGATGGGATAAATCATTATTACGGGATCTGGCCACAACACCCCATCGTTGCACCATGTCGACCTTAATAGGTGCTCAGCTAACAGCATTTGCCCCTAGCGGTAGGTTCTGCAGGGATCGTCGGCATTCACAACGATTTGAAATTGTGCTCCTGTGATTCAGACAATGCTATGGTCTCGGCGATATGCATCCATTCCCTAGCCATGCCCAATGCTCTGGGTGCCCCTCGATAGATTGAAGACTCATTTCTTTAGAACTGCTTTTTGTGTTTAGTTTGTCGTCATCGTCCCCCCGCACCTCCGATTAGCACGGTTGCCTACTTTACGGTGCCAAAGAAGTTCAACGTACTTACGTACCTACGTACGTACGTAGCTAATAACCACGGCAACCGGTATCCGAATTGCTCCCCCAATGCCGAGACTTCCCTTCCTCCGCCCCTCTGCGTCTCCACAGGGCGCTTCGCTCGCCGTGCAGCCCGAGCCGTACGCCGGGAGGGCGTGCGGACTCCCCGCCCACGGGGACTCGCGCTGGAGCGGCGGGGACTGCGCCACCGACAAACTCGCCGGCCCTGGCAGGGGCCGCCAGACCCTCTGCCGTAAACCCGCCACAGGTTCGGCAGCCTCCCTCCTTCCCTCCTTTTTTTTTTTTACGATCAGACGAGAAAGATGCTCGGTCTTTCGGCACTTTACTTCGTTCATCATGTCGTTTTCTTTTTTGCTTATGTGATCCCTTTTTTGATCAAAGATATAACGCGGGTTTCCCGTGTAACATTAGTCCCATTGTGTGTTACTGTGTTCATAGACACCAACAAGAAAACAAATCACCCTCAAAAACCCATCACCAGATACCCTGCTGCTGCTCTACCAGCACCATAGCGGCGAAGTCACCTGCCTGACCTCCCTCCCCTCCCTCCCCTCTCTCCCTCCCCCCCCCCCCCACTCTCCCTCCCGATGATTGCACACAAGGAGAGGGGGGAACGGTTAGGAGTAGGAGAGATTAAGAGCGCAGCGGGCGGGAGGGCAGCGAGGTACGGTGGGGCAAGGCCGCGGAGAGATGTAAATACCAGCGTATCATCGCGGATCCTTGCGGCCGATCCTTCGACGAGAGGCGCGACCGTGTTGACGCGTGACGATCACCGCGCTTTCCCCGCGCGCAGACGTGGCGAGCCGGCTGCTGGCCGGCGGGAGCTCGCTGCCCGAGCTGACGCGCTACGACTGCGAGGTGAACGCCCCCGTCGTCGACTGCCGCCGCCTGCTGCAGGGAGTCGAGCTTCCTGCGGGCCCTGGACCAGACGACGTAAACGCGCGGGGGACGAGCAGAACGACGACGACGACGTCGACCGCCGTCGGAGCGCTCCTCAGCCTTCTCTGCCTTCCCCCCCCCCACCTCGCCCCGCCCCCACCACCCCAGTCCCCGGTGTCACTTGGGCGGTCGGCCGAGATGACCGCGGCTCGATGTCCCGTAGATCGTTCTCCCCGCACGCGGCTCAGCCTGGCCTCCGTGCCCGGCCATGCGTTACAAGAAGGGGTGGTGTGGCCGGAGGCTCGCGCACGGCCGGCGCTATGCGCGACCAGTCTGTGCGGTTATCGGGGCACGTCGTGATCTCGAATTTGAAGTTGGGCGTGCTGCGCTTGGGTATGTCACGAACTTGGCTGAAAGTTGAGAGCGCCGCACACAGAGGTTGAGATTGAACGGCAGACGGGGGCAGCACGCTAATAGAGCCTCTTTGGTTTCATTGGTGGCTTCTACTTTCTCAGATACGCTCTCTCTCTCTATATATATATTTGTATACGTACGTGTACGTGTGTGTGTGCCTGCAGTGGCAGTTTTGTTGTTCGCGCGGAACCTTTAAAGACCAGCATTGTGCACGAGGGTGTGGTGTGGTCATCACCAAGCCCGACCAGAACGTGCCTCAACAGTCTTGTACGGCTACGGGGGAGAACTTTGTCTTTGTAGCGGCATGTCACTATTTAGCCCTCCCTATTTTGCGACCGTTCTTATCCGGAGGTCTGCTGCTGGGATCTCGTGAACAGCTCCGAGATGCCTGCAGCCAGGCACACATCTGCAGTGGCGCGCGAGTCAAGAAGATGCCTGCCTCTGCAATTGTTTATTCCAGCCGCGTATATAATTTTTTGGAGTCGCGTTTTAAGATGAATGGACGGGAAGCTGGGAGCCACTCTCGCGTTGTCCTCTCAACGATTCGTTATTTCAGAGGGGCTCGCAGCGCCGAATTTAGGCACACGGCTCACAATGAAGTGGATGCCACCAAGATTAGATGCACGTGGGGACCGTATTTTGTAAACGAAAAGGGCGATTGGCTCACGGGGCTAAGGTTGGTTTTGTGACCGCTATTTAGTTTAGCGGGCAGAGCATCGGATCGTGCGCTATAATTCACTGACGATGAGCGGCTGCTCTCCATTTATTGCCATAGCGAAGCATCCAAAACGATGTGTTGTGTTTGAATTCTGGCGGTGTTGTCCATTCGTGATGTTCCCTACAAAAGTGAACTGCATGAACGAGTTGCGCAGCGATTGACATGTGGTGAACGTTTTATGGAGATTAATTTTTTAAATGTTAAAGAAGAGGGCAGTTTTGGTAACTTAGCACAGTATCTGAATACGTTAGGACAAAAGAAAAAATATATAAATTTGATAAGAACACAAAATTAACCCGTTTTTGTTGTTGCAATGTATTGAGGAATACAAACGGCAGCAATAGCACAGTTGCATTGACCTTGCTTCCATCAGACATTTAGTGCAATTGAGAAAAAGAAATATCCTTACTCCCACGTATTTATCTTGTTTTGTGTTTGTCTCGTAAATATCGCTACATCGTCCATGTATTTGTAAAAAAAAAAAAGAGAGAAAACGAACGATAGGAGAATACATTTTGACTTAAAACTTTCGTGACTGCAGGAATTCATATGCTTGGTTCTTTCGGTAAAGTCGCGTAAATAGAAAACCAAAAATAAAAAAAATGTGAAATAAAATAACATTTATTAAATTAAATATAAATTATAAAATAAAACTAAATTGAAAATAAATAAAAATGATTAAAGAATTTTTTTTAAATAATAAAAGCAAACAACCCACAACGTTTCGATCGCAACACAAGCAGTCTTCATTTGATGGAGACCGCTTGTGTTGCGATCGAAACGTCGTGGGTTTTTTGCTTTAATTATTATTTTAAAAAAATCTTTAATCATTTTTATTTTATTAAAACAAATATTTTGTTTTCTATTTACGTGACTTTACCGAAAGAACCAAGTATATGGATAGGAGAATAATAATAAGAAGAATACCACTGATGATAAATATAAATGTTTAAATTCAGCGGTTCAAGCACCATGCATACTTGTGAATACTTTAACGAACTGAAAAAGTTAACTTTAGAATGTACATTGTTTAATCCCTAACATTTTCAGGAAAAAAAATACAATATTTGTAATGCACCTTCGATGGAAGTTTCCACTCCACGTTGAACACAAAGATTTATAAAAAAAAATACAAAACGTGGAAATTTATTTTTAGCACAAAAAATATATAATCGTAGAGGTTAATCCCAGATTATTTGCACATAACCTTGGTGCTTTTGGCGAATTACATATTTCGTGTTCTTCAGGAATAACGTTGTTCCAATACACACAACATATTTTGTACAATGAGGCATAAACACAATAGCTATTGCAAAATACTGCAAGGCAACTTGTTGTGTGCCTTGTGTCTGATTGTGGTAAAAACATTACTTTAAAAATAATTAGCTTTCCAGGAATCAGTGTTTCATTGTTTCAGCAGCACATTCAAAGAGATCCATAGAAATGGTATCTTGATGCATGATGGTGATAAATTCCCTTCAAAGTACATTTTATTTCTACATTAGCGATTATAAAACAAAGACCCCACGATGAAACTACAATGGATCTATAATGGCGAGAAATATTTTTGATAAATTTCTTCACACAAACCGAAGTTGTACCAAGTGCCTGAAAACACGCATCTCTTTCCGTGCAGAATGAATACCCTGCACCTGATTGTAACAGCTAACGTGCCAATGCAACTCCACGTCCTCAGTGGGATGGAAAAAGAAATTCCATTCTGGGTTTTCTAACGTGACCGTGCAGCCTATGTGCAGGCCCCAAAATATGTAGCGGTCTTTTGTTTAACCCCCTTTTCCATTGGCACACCTGAGTCGCGTTGGTTCACCGTGTCCCGCCGACAACAGGACCGGCATTGGCATCCGCACGCACACGCGCATACACAGCAGGAATTTCATCAACAGTGGCCTTTGAACCTGCCTTGCCTTAAGGGTTCACCGAGAAAATTGCCACGGCTCCAGATCCGGTTGAGCACCGATCTCCGCTTCAGGTTTTTTCAGCCCAAGAATCAAGGCAGCTTCCTCGGAGGACAGATCTGGCAAGAGCTCAGCAAATTCCATTGGGCGTATTGAGCATTATACTTCTGCTTTCCTATCGTACCCGATTGATCAGCTGTTCTTGTCGACTGTGATTGTAAAAATAAAATACTGGGGTGGAGCTTTCTAGAACTGTAGCCACGGCAGATCCCTGGGTAAACTGTGACGACTATACTAGAGAGACACTGGGTACATGTCTGCGGATTATTCTTATTTTGACATTTTCCGAGTGCAGGCTCGTGCCACTGGCCAAGGATGGTGGGTGGATTCAATGCCCTGATCAGCCACGATCTGCTAACTGTTGACGAACGCCTCCCAGAGTCGTCGTCACCTCTCACGGTCTTGCAAAGCAACAATCCCTCGAGCTGTTGCACACCGACTGATTTCATTGTTCCATCGCCGCAGTCGCCGTCCCCTTCGGCGTGTTGTTGTAGCCGAAAGGCACTTTCGCTCTGATGCAGTGTAGGAGTAGAAATTCAACTGATGTAACTTCAATAAATTATATGCGATAAATAACAGTCTAAGGGATAAACCAAATACAAACATGTTGTGGCAGTTTGAGTAAAAGTAGATTGTAATGTTTCAGCCGAACGATCGTCAGTATGAATAGCATTAATAGAATGCATTGGTAAACTTAGAATGACTTACTGGACAGCTTTATAGGAGGGCAGTCTACCATGTTTGAAAAACCTTCAGCTATAGTTGGACCTGCCACAACATGAGAACACTATTGTACAGCCATGACTGGACACACACTACATGTTGGTGTTAGGGTTAATCTGATGAACCCAAATCACCCTCGAAATCCCACAATCTCATCAGATCTGATAAGCTAATAGGGCTTCAGCGTGGCTAGTGCTTGGATGGGTGACCACCAGGGCTTGCCAGGGGTTGTAGTCGTGACGTTGATGGGTGAACACGAGAGAGGAGTGTGGGTTTGTCTGTGGGCAATTCAGTTTCTTCACACATAAAGCAAACCACTTAATTTTTGGAATTTATCAAACATCCCAATGCAGGATGCTTCTGAATACGAATTTTGAGACAGAGTGAGGCTTTCCTGGGAAATAATTGTTAATTAGATTGATTGTTAAAAGCTGAGAATCACTGCTGCCAGGTGTTTCAACGGCACTCGCCACTCACGGCAAGACATTTCAAAAGAAGTGCACCAACGTGGGTCTGTTGTAGAGTACATTTGATGTGGTCACGTTAAGGTTGAATTTCGATTCGTACAATGCTTTGATCGAATGTCTACAGAAGCCTTTTAACGAATGTGTGAAGTCAGGTGGTCTGTGAATTTGTGCTACTGTTTTAGTTTTTTTTTTTAATGTTGAACTTTACTCTGCCTCTAACCACTGTCCCACAGAGGCTCTGCTAACTCGCACAATAGTTTGTTTTGAATGAATACATGCGTACCTTATATAAAAAAACTGTTGCAATTAAAAGAAAGTATCTTTATATACACATATATATTACGAAAACACACTATTTTAGAAAGTAGACTTAGATATGCAGGGTATTTTCTACTACGTCTTGTATTCATTTTATTTTTATTTAAGCTCACCACTTTATTATCGGGTGACCTTGCATCGCAAAGCCAAAGGAATGTGATGTAGACTCACATGTTCCCGCACACACCTGTAGGCTGGTTATAATGTGGTTGTTGTAATTTCACAAGAGACGCGTTACAATGGGGGCCTAATCAAAGTTGTCGGGTGCACAAGCAACCTTACAACTCGAATGGGTCAGTTGGAAAAGATAGGCTTTATAAAATGTTTTCTTTGGTGTATTTTTTTTCTTTTCATGAACGTCTATCGGAGCTTATTAACATGCGACTTGTAGTAACGTTAATGGGTGCGTCCAAAGTCAAAATTCAGAATGCCCATTCTCAAAATAGTGTCGAATCATTCCCAACCAAACTGCTAAAACCCTGAACCGGTGTTGGAATCCCGCGTATGATGTGCATGGCAAGGACTATAGGGGCCACATTAATATCTCGAGGACATGGCTCATTAAAAAAAAATTCCTTCTAGACTTGAAG